TTTTTGTCACACTGCAATTAAAATTACAATTGTCAATACGATTGTTATTATTACTATTATCAAGTTTGTTGTAATTATTCGAAGAAGACGTAGAATAAGTAGAGGGAGAGGAAGAGAAACAAGACCTCGAATTACGGGAATACGAGGAAGATGTTGAGCAGATGGAGGGAGAAGAGAATGATGGTGATGAATGTGATAAAGTTGATGATGAATGGAATCACATCCTCCGATAACACGGGTTAGTACTGCCAAGTGGATGTGAAGTCATACATTCAAAGCAATCGGCAGATACCTAATCTCACAGTCCTCACTGATCCATCATTCTCCAAATATCACTTCCCAAACGATCTCACTTGCTCTCCTTCAACTCAAACTCACACTCTCCTTCCCCTCTCAATCTCCCTCTTCCCTCTCCCCCTTCGTCTCCTCCTACCTCTCGCTCTCGTTCGCATTCTCACTCACACCTTAACTCCCCTCTCCCTCTCCCTCAAACCCTCCCTCTCCATTTCACTCCCGCTTCCTCTCCCCCCTCTCTCTATCACTCACTCACACACACACATACATACACAATCTCTCACTCCGTCCCTCGTCTACCCTCTCCCACTACATCTCCAGTATCGCCTATCGCCCCTCCTCACTCACTCAACACCCATCCTCGAATCACTCACTCTCTCTTTGGATCACCGTATTTACTATATCTCCTGAATATGTTTTTTCCTTTTTTTGTCGCGGCGGAATTCGCTGTTACATTTTCAGCTTTTCTGCATGTCTTTTCCTTGTTGGATGGCATTCGGAATTTTTTTATGGTAGGTTTATCAGCCCTGTTTTCCGTGAGTTTTTATACGTTAGAGGTTTTATTACATTTGTTGTCTCTTTCGCCTTCATTTATATTTGAATGCGTTTTGTTGAGGTTTTCTCTTATTTGTTGATATTTGTTCTCGACATACTTCATGTTTCCGGAAACGTGTGAGGCTGTTTATTGCTGTTCCATTTAGTGTTTATATTAATAATAATAATACTTCCGTTGGGTTCCTAGTGGAGCATACGGCTTCAGTTGCACGCCTCCTGTGCACTCTCTTCTTTACAGTCTGCTCACCCTGGCTCCACTACTGCTCACAACCTTTCATCTCATCCTCACATGATCTCCTACATGTCCCCTTCATCTCAGACACCCAACTCGTCGCTTCCCATGCCAGGTCCACTCAAGGGACTGGCACGTGATCTCCAGAGTCGGCATTCTCAGTGTATGCCCAATCCATCTCCACTCTCGTCTTCTGCATATTTGTTGAGTGATAGGCTCTTCCTTCGTTGCTTCGTTCCAATAGTTCATTCTTGCTTATCCTTTCTGGTCATCTCATCGATCTTCAGTATCGAGTAAGTGTAGGTGGCAGCTTTTAATGAATGACTGTAGTTTGTTGGAAGTGCTTTTCGTGACACGCCAACTCTCTGAATGAACCATGTAGAAGCACTGACTTGACTGAATTAGTGTTCAATATCCGGATCTTGTTAACGCTTTATGATGCTGAGTGCAGTAGATCTCCACACTGATTTCAAATTAACGAAAGCCTGTCTTGCTGTCTTTCCAATCCTGGCTGCTTTGACATCCTCGTCTGTGCCACCTCTGCCTGTAGTTGAAACGACACTGCCTGGATGGGTAGGTGAAAGAGACCACTTCCTTTGAATTTCTCTCGTTCATGGTGATTGGTGCTCCTCCTTGTTGTTGTTGTTGGATGGGTATCTTCATCACCTCTACCTCTGTCTTCTCTACCTTCACCTGAATGAATTCCCGTCTTCGATGCCCTGCCCTGCCCTGCCCTGTCTAGCCTCTTCTGTCAACTTGTTGGCCTTCGCCGGTAGATCTTCGAGTTTGTGCGACAAGACATTAGACACAAACCATCATCATCATCATCATCATCATCATCAGCGAAATCCAAATCCTCTCCTAGGGTCTTCTCATCGATCAAACAGCGTATGCCCATCTTCTCATAGCTCCTAACAGTTATCTGTTGCATGATCCAGTCCACTCCAGTCCAGTCAACCACAATCAGGAAGATGATCAGTGATAGTTGGCGTAAACCTTGTCTTACTCCCGTCTCCACTTCAAAGGCATCACTGAGCTTTCCATTGTGAATCACTTGGCACATGGCGTCGTCATATAGCTGTTGAATGAGGTTGATAAAGGTTTGTGGGACTAAAACTGTCGTGTTGAAGTAGCTGCCTGCCAAATCACTTGTTGGTGGACGTTGTCGAAAGCCTTTACGAAGTCAATGAAGTTGAGATGGATAGTTGACTGCCATTCTACACTCTGTTCCATGATGATGCGTAGCGCTGAGTTGCAATTGGATCCGCACATGATTCCTTCTCCCTAATGTCAGCCAGCCAGCCAGCTAGCCTGTTCCGCTCGTAATTTCGAATCCAGCGCATCCTCTCGTCTATCCAGGATGATGCAGCCATGATATTTTGCTCGCATTGGGTGGACAGCAGTATGATTCCTTGCCAGTCCTTGAAAAGACTTATGTCTCCCTTCTTTAGGAGTTTCACAAGGTAGCCCCTCTTCCAACCAACTGGGAGATACCTTTCCTTCCTCCCTTCCTTCCTTCCAAACCTTCTACAATAGTGGTGTGGTTTGAGCATGTTTGATGTTCTCTGTGTGTTCGTTTTCACTGCTTCTGACGGAATTCCATGTGGTCCTGCTGCTTTCCTGGATTTCAGCAGTTTTGTGGCATTCACAACTTCATTTCTGCTTTCATCGGAGGGCCTGTGTTCACTGGTAGTTCTGTGGCTGGTCTGGTGGTGGTATTTGTGGATGAGTTGCAGGTGGTGGTGTTGACGTTGGTGGTCGATTCAAGACTATTTTGAAGTGGTCAGCACATCGTTTCCTTTAATTCTCCTCTTTGGTAGCTAGCTTTCCTCCACTATCTTTCATTGGTTTCGTCTGTGTTCATCTCTCCCCTCCCAGACAGTAACCTGGTTATTTGATATAGTGTTGTCAGGCCTCTGTCTCTCTTACCAGCAGCCTGTTCTGCTTCACTTACCAATGTGTTATAGAAGTGTGTTTTGTCTTTGCGCGCACTCCTCTTCACTTCTTTGTCCAGTGTAATGTTGATGTGTTGTGTTGTGTTCAGTTCCTCTTTTCGTTGTTCATCCTTGCACTGCACTGCACTGGTTTATCTTCTGCTTCACCATCACCATCTTCCTCTCTCTCCTCTATCAGCTTCCATGTATCCATCGAGATCCATTCCTTGACTTTTTTCCTCTTCCTTGCTAATACGGTTATGCAGGTTTCTTTCCACATAGCTTTCGAAAAGTTCCAGTGTTCTTTCACACAGGTTTCTTCACGGATGTTGCTCAATGTTCCCCATTTTGTCCTGATGACTGACTTGAAGATGTCCTTTGCAGTTTCGTCCTTCAGTTTTGTTTCTGTTCTGGGTGTTCAACTTGAACTGTGGTCTATCACCAACTTCTCCGAAGGTTTTCAACTTGATTTGGAAGGTAGGTTCATTGCACCAGATAGTGAGTGGTGTGAACCTACATCTGCTTCTCTTCTTCATCTGATCTGGTGTCCAGTAGACTGCGTCTCCACCCTCTTCACATTGAGATGAAGTTGATCTGATTTTCAGTGTAGTGTGTGTCCTGGTGTCTGGTGAAAGCAATTCCATGTTGCTTTGTGGATTTCCTTGTGCTTGAACACAGTACCTCCAATCACCAAATCTTTGAAGGTGCAGAAGTCTGCAAACAGTTCTCCATTCTCATGCATCATTTCACCTAGTGCTTCTCCACCCATGATTGGTTCTGTCCCTGTGTTGTCCGCTCCGAATTCGGTATTCACGTCACCCATTAGAATGAATTTTGAGTTGGTCAACTGGGGTAGTGCCTTGTCCAATACTGATTGAAGTTTTCTGTAGAATTCTTCCTTCTCCTCTTGATCTGCATTATTTGTAGGTGCGTAGTGTAGCATTGCATGATTGTGACTTTCCGTCCTTTTGAGTTGAACCTTGCTCTCATGATGCCGGAAGGACATCATGATAGCCCCTCGAGAACTCAGTGTGCTCATGGTTGTCGTCTGGGTGACGATATAAGAGTAGATTGTTAACTCTCCAGTTGACACTTTGGAGAGTTGACTTCCATTCCATCTGCAGATTCCTAGCACTTATGTGCTATACCTTCTCATCTCTCTTGCAATGTGGGAAGCCTTGCTAACTAGCTTCAAACATTATGCGGACATTCCATGTACTCATTCTTACTTTTGGTTTTATCGAGAGAAGAGAAGACACATCGGCCAACTGGATTCCTGAAGGCTTTCAACAACTGATGTCACTTCGTCTCCTCGATTCCAGCGAGGAATAATTTTATTTTTTATATTTTGCTTGTGCTTTGAAGTTTCTTTAGAGGTTAGATTGGTATTACGGGGTAGGGTTGCTATTCCTATAGCCAACCTTCCCTCTTTATCCGGGCTTAGGACCAACTAGTAATTAACGAACTAGTTACCTAGGCGAGGTTAACGTATATCTAGTATCAAGCTTTTACTCGGCGTCCAATATTTGCGAGTACTATTTGGTCAAATCTTGATCATAGTTCATATAAATTCTAATAGTATCTTAATCTATGTTAATAAGAGTAAATTTTGACGATACTATGAGAATAATTATTCATGTTGGTAAAGGATAACTACGATGATTTTACTATTTATCGATATACCTGTAATTCTCCGTTGTTTTATTGGATCGAATTGTTCGACGACCAATGGCGGATGCCTTGATGTTACCTGAGTGTTAATTATAGTAATTTAGTTGGTTGCAGGTACATCTAGCTGAGTCCCAAATGGGATGAAACGCGCCTCCTGGATTCCTCTGCTAACTACAACCAACCAAAACTGACTAAAATGATAGTTTAGTGAACCATATAGATGGAAAATATACAAAACACAACCAATAAAGGAAAAATAATTTCCTATGTCAAGTGAATTTTATCATTTTCTAATAAATTAACAAATCAACAACTTAAACACGACTTTGCTCATCGATAAAATTTAATATCCTCAATAATTCTTTATAGTCTTCAGCAAGAAAATTATATTTCTCAGGCGGTTGTTTCACATATTCCACAGTATTTGGTGTATACTTAGCAATATGTATTTTATTCCAATCTTCTAACTCCATTGAATGTGATGATGTTTCAGCCAGAACAAATTTTCGCATTAAATAACCACATAATTTATAAAATGCTCTATAAAGGATTAGAATTTGTCCCAGTAGAATAATTGCTAAAACTGCATAGAAACATGAATCAAGTAGTAGTGTACTCAGTTCCCATGGTTGTGATTTAATCACTGGTATAACAGGATGTATTGGCTAAATAGAAAACGAATCAGAGATATAGAACAAAGGATTGATATCTTTTTGATGTAATTATTTATCTTATAAGTTTATCATTAAGGTTGTAATCATAACGAACTGGCATTATTTGGGGAAACATTGAGAATCTGAGAACACTGGACGAATGTTTCCTCCTTGTACAGGATTCCTCAGAAGTACGCACCAATGAACCCACCTTCCAGGGACCGAACTCAGGATTTTCAGGTATCAAGCATGAACTTGTTATCCATTCATCCATCTGGTTGGAGTTCACTGGACCCTAGTTTCCTACCCCTGTCAATTATTATAATAATTATTTTCTTACCTGAAATCCACATGATTCTTTTATTTGCACTACTATCGAGACTTTATCTCTCCTATTCTAGGTGTCGTAATTCAGCTGGAACATTAACTCCCGCCTTTTCCGTTACCACCTGACCTGTAAAGTCTGTTCATTTTTATCTTGACATACGTCAATCAGTGTCTAAGTTTATGTTGTTTGTCTGTCTATTCACCTGTACTGCTTTATAGTATAAATAGTCGAGTATGTAATGTACCCAGTTGACAAGTTCTAATGAAATTTATGAATGTATACTCCTATATCATCTGATTGAGTTTCAACAGAATGACTGATTTTAGAGATAGGAGGGATATTTATGGGTGACGATTGAAGGTGAAATGAAAACTCAATTTACAACAAGATTTGAATAAACAACCTCCCGGTTATCAATCCATCACCTGCTAACCGGTAATTTAAATGCTGCTTGTTCGAATTATGTTGGGAGCCAGGTTTTCACCTCACCTTCAGTCATCATGCAGTAATAATAATAACAGTCTATCAAACCACAGATATTTTAGTCTTGTTAGAAATATTAGTTTTTCTCATTCTGATAAATACATTGAAAAATAAACATTTTTAGGTACACTATTTCAAAAGTACTACAACTGAATGTCTAAATCAGCAGAACGATGTTTCCAAAATTGATCATTAGTTGCTAACAAAAACAATTTCATTGGATAGAGAAAACTCTCAACGGCATGTTGGACTAACAGTACTGTTATAGGATTTCTATATTATGTTTATATAAACATTTATAATTGTAATTATTTTAAGTTCCTTCTTTAACTCTCCATGAATGCTTCCTTTAACGTTACTGGTTCATAAATGGCTAGGAGGGTAAGCGATTATTAGGTTACTGTAAAAAACTAGGAGGTCCATAAATGACAGTAGCTTGAATACTTTGACATAAAATTAATTGGTGGTGCGCTTCTTTGTCTAACCTGAAAGTCTCTACCTTTCATTTTTATGATGTGCCAGTTAGTCAATATCAACTTGTTACCCAAGATTATATTGAACAGTAAATGGTGTGGGAACTATTGGGATGGCATTCGTAACGCACAAGTAAACCACTGGAACTGGTATTTCAGGATGACTGCACTCAATGAATAATGATCTCAATCATACCTTAAAATATATGAAGTCTCATCTCTGAATTATTTATATAGTGTTTCCACGTGGTGAAAGTAGTCCTACGGAGAGAATGGCGTTCGAACATTCTACTGTTTGTTGGACAATTACGGGAGGTGGTTGTTAGCCGTCACTCTGACTGAGGTTTTGAGGCATAGAACTTTCAGAATTTTAACAAACTCCTCAAGGACATTTATCTCTAACAAATAATTTCATAGCACATCCTTGCTCAACTTACAGAAGGCCTCCATAATATCAAGAAACTAAACAATCGTTGATATGTCATACGTGTCTATAAGGAACTCCACTTTGCCTAGCAGTTTGTTCTTAACTAATCAAAGAGCACAGGACAGCGAAGTCAATGTTGATGAAGAAGCAAGTCAGTCAAATTTATCTTCTAAGTGCTTGACCCAGCATTCCAGGTGCCTACGATTTTTGACGACCAGTGTACCCTCTACTTCATAGACTGTCTTAGTGACGCCAGATTATGTTTTACCAATACCTAAGATGGGCTGAAACAGGTGTTAATCATCATTAGATTGAGCTGCAACTTCATGGTCGTTACTTAAGTAATACGTGGTATATTGCATAAATCCCTACGGTATCACTATGATATCAGTCCAACACAAGTGATAGAGAAGATCACTCAGTTATAGTTAGTTGGAACATAGGTAGAGATGATGAAGACATTCTGGTCATTTTGTTGGTTATTTCTCATTCTAAACGAATATCATAACCTAACATCATAAAAGCTACATTTAGTAGGGATTTAGTTGACTAGTGCATTCTTGAGTCTGGCACTTAGTGTGACACCGGTACCAACAAAGTCAGCTGTCGATGCCGAAGGGCCCTATGATAAATGCACGTAAAGATACCTTTGGAGCTGATATATAGAGAAGTTACTCGAAGCGCTCTACTGTGATGTTGGATCTAGGTTTCTGAAGGGTCGCATAAATCACTAGCATGATTTTTACAGTTCTAACTAATCTTTTATGTTTCTGGACTTGCATCAAAGTCTGAATGTTTACGGAAACCAGCTTAAACAATGATGTGGTTTAGAAATAGTCGAGTCAGATAATGTACTGAAAGAAAACTTTTTAGAAGCAACTGTTCACTGACTCAAGAACGTGCAGATAGACTAGAATTTCAATCAGTGACAGTCAGATAATTTAAACAGAGATATATACAAATCTAACTTTCAAAAGGAGAATGATAGAACGATACAATTCATGAGTGAAGATCGCAGCAACGAATAAGCGAATATAAATTAAATAATTGAGTATAAAGTTTGCAAAACAGTGAGCTAGAATACTCACACTATGATAGGCGTTTTGGAGAACTCTTTGGGTATGTTGATTTATGAATTCTGTGTGAACTGCGATATATCCCGGATACCAAAGTCAAAGCAAATGGTTATCTTGAAGGAACATACCTCGAAATTTTGCCTTGAAATCTGATCCATAAAGCAGTGGAGCAACATAAAATGCTGAATTCTTATGGCTACTGGTGACCAAGGTAGATTTATAGACAGTTCATCTATTCTAGTTTTTAGATCTCATTTACACCAATAGTTTACAATCAGGGTCTACTAAATCTCCTAAGTGTACCTTTCATGTTTACCTCACTGGACATTCACTTCTACTGTCTCACTTTTCTAGAAGAATTCCTCTCTATATGAAGGCCCTAAGTAAGGCCTCTATGGGGAATGCGATGAACATGTTAGCATACGAGAGGGTTTCGAGAAAACGACCGGAATCATCACACCTCTAACTATACTAGCATAGTTGAAGGGTGGTACACTGAATAGGAAATATTTGTCGACTTTCATTCTTCTAGACGTTCATTTGTCCATTTAGTGATAGAGTGATAGGAAGAATCAGGCTCAGGTCGCTAGATTTCATTTATTCAATAGTCAAGGTAATATGTAAGCAGAGGGTTCTAATATCTTATCTGATTTCTGTGCAGTTAGTGAACGATTTTTTTCAACTTCAGGACCTGTATGAGTTGTGAATCTGTTTTGCCTCTCTATTTTCTTTTCATTAGACAATGTATTCAAGATCTTATTAACACAATCTTTCTGATTTATAAATAACTAGTAAGTGTAAGCTAAAAACAGAGTTTAATGAATAAACATAAACAACTTTTTTTATTCATCAGCAGGTAGATAAACAGCCTGTCATAGCTATTAGGATAGGTTCTGAATATCCTTTATGATTCCCGCCAAAATATGTTTACTGTGCTGACAGTGCGACTACTTTTAAGAAGAAGAAAATCATTCCCCTGGATTCACACCTTTACTGAAGTGAAATCGTCCATTCTTATTTGCAAATTGCGTAAACCATTACTCCGAAACTAATGCAGTAAGCAAAAGAGATCTTTAATATAAGTGTGATAAAGAACCTTAATGAAATAAACCCCGTGTAGTTAGGATAGTTTTCATTCCTTTCAGTGTACAAGAAGTGGGATCTGATCAGTATTTTTTAGCATAAATCATAGTAATTTTTCATAAAAATAAACCTTACTTCTGGATCCCATAGTAGATGTTCATTTGGACCACCTTTAAGGTTAATGAAAGCATTTTTCTCTGCTTGATCTTCAGCTGTTTGCATTGAAGACTGTAAAAGTTAATCAAAGTAAAAATAGATAAACTATGTGTTGATATATATTCCACTTACGAAATCGAAATCCGTTTATCAGCAAGTAAGTATGCTGTACGATAGTTAAGTTAGTGATACTTCACCGTAAGTTATCTTAATGTGGAATCAGAAAGTGAGTAATGTTGACACTGAGAGTTACTTTTTAAGGAAGAAACATTGGTTACTTGAATCGATATCGATGACTAATAGACTTTATTTCTCACACCTGTTCTTAAATTCAATGCTTATTGATGTTGAATTAGGCTGAAGAAAGGTTAACAGTAGCCAAATTAGGACGTGTTACTGGTTTATGAAGTGAAGTCATTAACTACCTGGTGAATGACTTCAAGGTTATTGGAGTAAGTTATCGTAGAATTCTTGTAACACATAAATTGCTATGATACACATGTGTAAACTATTTATTCGATTCCGACTTTAAGGAATAGAATTGAAATTTATCTGTTCTTCTTATCTCTTCGCTTTCGTTGTTCTAAATCATCCAAATTCTCTCAATCGATCTCTGATGCTAACTAGTTAGGTAAAATCAACTAGACACTATTCCGCAACTATCTTTTTATTGATTTTATTCAATAAGATTCATTACATTGTTACTGGGTGATGACTGAAGGTGAAATGAAAATTTAGACCACAGAGGGATTCGAACCAACGACTATTGTGTTACTTAACAGTGTACTTTTACAGTATATTCAACAGTATTCTTCAAACAAGAAAGCCTAATGAGATACTTATGAAGGTATAAAGAATATTTATTATTAGCAAGCCTACCATATGAAAGCTTAGTAATATAGTCAAGATTATATGATCGTCTCAGAAATACTATGACGTAATACTGGCGGTATAAACCAGTTCAGATTCTTAGTCAACACAATGAACATGAATCGCATTTTTGGTAAATACAAAATATCAATGAAAATATAACGCTTTGGAGAAGATAGTAGGTTGCACCATTACAATATCATAACTTCTATCCTGTACTTATCATGTCAAGAGATCTGTAAAAGCGTTTATCTGATTCAGTTTACATTATAAAAAAAAGGTCAACTCATCATTTATTCCATTAGGAAAGTATATTCACATATGTGAACATGTGTGAAAGATAAGGCTTGTGGAGGTACATTTCATATTTTAAATCTTTCAGTTAGATGTTCTGAAACTTTCTTCATGGTTTAGGCATAGAATACCAGGCGATCTTTGAGAGTTTATTGTTTTGACAGAAGAACAAGTATTTCAGAGAAGAATTAGTTTATGGTGATTTCATTCTAGCACGTGTTGATTAACACAGCTAAAGAGAGACTCTTCACTGAAATACATGTCCTGCTTTTATCTCCTGATGAATATCTTAATCAGCTTATTGTTGTGAATTGCTCTCCAAGAAATTTGGAACCAAAGCGAACAAGCGACGTCTCTACAATAAATCAAATTCTAGACCTACGCGTAAAAGCGGAAACAGGATTTGTTTGAAATACGGTTCTGTAGTAATAAGCAGTATTTAGTAATAAAGTACAAACCTTGAATCGTGAGGTATCTGTGGGTTTATCGTTAACACAGCACTTTACAACTAGTGCGACAACAGTAAAAACAGCAAGCCTGTGTCCAAGCAACTAGAAGGGAATATAAAGGACGCGCGCAAGTCCTTACGATGAGGTCAAAGGGAAAGATAAACAAATGTCCAAGGTAAAATAGGATGTCAAAGAACAACAGGAGGGGTCTCAGCACTACAATGAACTGGGAAAGTTACTAGTATCTAGGGGTGGTACATAGTGAACAAGATAAGATTGAACAGAATGAACTGTCAAGCCTGTGGATGAAGCAATACTATTAGGAAGCATATTATACTACTCACAAATACTAAGTAGTATAAAACTAAAGATATAAAAAGGGAATGCAAAGGGGACATACTATATGGTAAACAAGAACATGTAGGAAAGGAATAAACAACTGTTTTAACGATTGTCTGTTGTTAACATGGCAATGTGTCAACTATGAGGAGTTCTATTCAACGCAGATTGTAAGTTGTCAGTCCCTACTGTCAACATTTATCACAAAAATATTTTGGACTTCAGAAGAAAATAAGTCAGACATTCATATATCTACTTCGAATTCGATACAGTTTTTAGTTGACTTTCCTGTTTTACTTTAAAGTTTGAAGCAAACGAAGCGAAATGCACTCAGCAACCTTGCTCACAATCGTGCAGTAGGAAATGAACCAATGAGGGCTAATGATACTATCTTGCTATCTCAGCTGGTTACAAACCCGTAGCCCACTGTTAAGTAATCATCTTCCTAGACAGCTGAGTCACAATCTGAACACTGAAGTTTATCACACACCCAATCATCTGTTTAATTATTATGCTTACAAACAAATCCGGTTGTTGTCAAGGGGATTTCAGTCTGCAACACACAGAAGCCACGGTACACTTTTGAAACTTTGAAAGCTAAAATAATTAATATTGGCAGTGGAATTAATGATGACTGTTAGAAAGCAACTAAACGTCTACTCAACTCATTCAACTCAATCGAAAGTCAATTTCAGTGTCGATACTGTCTGATTAAAAGATATTAGTAGGAGTAAGTCAATTTTCAGTCAGAATATATTATTATCCACCTGAGTGATGTTTCATCAGGTAACAATCAGGTTTCCCAAAGCAGCTGTGCCTCTGAAATACCGGGTTCAAACGAAAGGTCTTCCCCCCTCCCATCTTATAACCCCAGACCTCACAAAGCTTGAAAACAATTCTACCATATCTCTACACGCTGATGTTTTAGGTCGCACGGCTGACTGTGACAATAGTGAAATTATCAAGGGTGAAACTCTTGACATAAGATGGAATCGAAATTGGTTTATTGAGAATAAAGAATTAAAATAGCTTGATCTGGTTTCAGTTCGCCCCTAAATGACGACACAACCAACACACATGCGGTACAAGCCATTGGTATTTGTATACGTGCGTAAAAAGGTCAGTCCGCATATTAGATATGTACCCTTCATCTATGTAAACAATTATGACAGAATTGTTCATGCGGAAAAACTACGGTCAAGCTAAAATATACAACCCTGGATATTGTAATATCCGGTAGACAAATTTATTCGCGGTAAATAATGAAGACTTAGTAAAAACACGCATGTTTTGTTTCGTATTTATCGGGAAATATAAATACTGGGGTTTCGATTATCATTTACACAATTTGATTTAAACTACTGTTAATTCCTTTCTTACTTGTTCTCGTTTACCCTATCATGACACCTATTGTATCTCTTTTTATGTCTTCAGTTTTATACTACTTACTATTGTTCAGTAGTATAACTTAAGTTTTCCCAAAATGTTGCTAAGTGCTCAACACCTATTCAATGATAACTTGTTCACCATTTAACATCCCTAGATATTAGTACCTATCCCGGTTTATGATGGTGCTGAGATAACTCCTGTTGTTCCTTGATGTTTTGCTTTACCTTAAACATTTGCTCATCTTGTGTGCTAACCTCATCGCGGAAAAAATACGTGCATCTTTTATATTCCCATCTGGTTTCCTTGAGAAACAGCTCCAATGTTTGTACTGCTAACATACTCTGTAAGGTGCTTTGATAGCGATAAACCTACAGCTGCCTCAGGATTCAAGGTTTATAATTTACTATTCATCATTACTTACTAATTCAGAACCATATTTCAGTCTTGGATTTTAAGCGTAACTCAAAAGTTTGGTTTGTTGTTAAAGAATCACTTTGGTTCTGAATTTCTTGGGAAAAAACTCGTACTTATCAAGTCACAACTTGATTTAAATATCTGTAGTAATAGATTACTGTCAAAATACAACGAAAATCTAAGAAAAGGGGAAACAAATCAATAAGAATTAATAAAATGACCAGTTTTGATGACGACGGTGAGGAGTGAATTCGTCCTTACTACTATTATACATTCCATGTAATGCCACATTAAGTCCCAACTATTGATCTTTACCATATTGATAACTATAGCTGGGTGTTTCATATACGTCTGTGAACAGCAGCTGGTTAAGCTACTACAGTCTTTGCTTCCAGTGTATTCCTATATAAACTAAGATTGCTCAGGGAAGTAGACAATGATTTTACTCGATTAACACATGTCTACTCTTGTTTAACAGCCTCATTTTGTTAAGAATTTGATACAGTATGAAATAACTCGTAAAGTAGGTTGAAATGAATAAGGATATTTCTTACCTGACTTGAGTTTTACAGAATGATATATACTATGTATGCTTGAGTATTAAATTCAAAAAAATTACCGATCAATAACTGAAAAGAAATAGTCATGCTTAATTACACCTGACTTTCTATGCACACTTTATCATTGCAATCAAATTGCCTTTACTGTCCTGAGTGTTCTGTGTTGAAAAGCTATGTATTATTCATAGTGTAGTATTTTATTGAAGACTGATTAGATATTGAACAGTAATCAACTAATACTGTCCAATACTACATTATTATTATTACTATTATTATTATTTTTCCGTTGGGTTCCTAGTGGAACATACGGCTTCAGTTACACGCCTCCTGTGCACTCTCTTCTCTGCAGTCTGCTCACCCTGGCTCCACTACTGCTCACAACCTTCCATCTCATCCTCACATGATCTCCTACATGTCCCCTTCATCTCGGACACCCAACTCGTCACTTCCCATGCCAGGTCCACTCAAGGGACTGGCGCATGATGTCCCGAGTCGGCATTCTCAGTGTATGCCCAATCCATCTCCACTCTCATCTTCTGCATATTTGTTGAGTGATAGGCTCTTCCTTCGTTGCTTCGTTCCAAGGGTTCATTTTTGCTTATCCTTTCTGGTCATCTCATCGATCTTCAGTATCGAGTAAGCGTAGGTGGCAGCTGTTGATGAATGACTGTAGTTTGTTGGAAGTGCTTTTCGTGACACGCCAACTCTCTGAATGAACCATGTAGAAGCACTGACTTGACTGGATTAGTGTTCAATA